GGAAGGAAGAGGACCAGTGTGCCAGACCCCCCCCCCCTCCCAATTCTGAGGCTGGTGAATAAAAATACCTCTTTGGCAGCAGGACGGCAGAAAGCCGGGAGACCATCTCTGAGATGGGAGAGCCTCACACTGGGGTCGTGGTAGCCCTCTCTCTTGCGTTTGTAAAGCCTTTCATCTCTCCCCTTAGTTAATACTGCATTGCTTGGTGAATAAAAATACCTCTTTGGCAGCAGGACGGCAGAAAGCCGGGAGACCATCTCTGAGATGGGAGAGCCTCACACTGGGGTCGTGGTAGCCCTCTCTCTTGCGTTTGTAAAGCCTTTCATCTCTCCCCTTAGTTAATACTGCATTGCTTTATGTTCCTTTGTCCAGCCTTGGAAAGAAAAGGTGACATGTAGAAAGAATGAAATTTCTCATTGTTAAGTCTTTTGGGCCCCCAGTTTGTAGCCCCCCCCCCCCCCCCCCGTATTCTCTGTCCTGGAACAACATTTCCCTCCAGACCTGAGTTGAAGTGATCAAAACACGCCTTGCACACTAAAAACACAGAATCAAGGCAATAAAGGAGCAGTCCAGCTCTTGGCACTAGTCAACAAGTAATCTCCCCCTCCTGCCAGAACTGTGCCTTGATTTTAGATGATATTCCCCTCAGAGTCAAGGCAAGGGGTGTCTATGGAAGAGACAGAGGCACTACTAGAGATGTGAAGGCCCGGAAAAAAAACGGAAAAATTTGGAAAAAAACCATTTTTTTCCCAGAAGCCTTTTTTGTTTTTCTCTGAAAAATTGGAAAAATTGAAAAAAGGAAAAGAAAAGAAAAAAATTGATTATGGAATGTTTTATTTTAACATGATGAATAAAATATTTTAAGACAAGGTGTTCAAATATTTTCCAAATCATTTCTAAAATATATATATATTATGGTATCAGATTGATCTAATTTCTGTGCACTGAGGACAAGCAAGTCCTAGGTTACAAACTGAACTCTCCAATGCAAGAACAAGATGCATTTCTTCCTTTAGGAGGTGCTATTGTCATGAGAAAAGAAAAAGGTTTCAGTTTTGTTTTTGCATGTGGGCGGGTATTCTGTTTGTAATAACTGTTTGGATACACTATATTTTTAATATGCTAGTTGTGATAATTTCATGCCAAGTAAAAATGTCCATAGTCATATTTTATGTTCCTAAAGTAACAGAATGACTTTCAATCTAGAAAAGACAAAAGAAGTGCTAATGTAGCATTTTGTTCAATTTTTCCGAAAATTTCCGTTTTTTTCCGGGGGAAAACGGTTTTTTTCCTGAGCTTCAACATTTCCGGAAATTTTACATCTCTAGGCACTACACTGTTGGTGTGGGAGCTGCTTTCTCATGGCTGCTTCCCAGCATTGGAGTAATATGAGGACCTCTTTTGCTACAGTGGGAGTTGAGAGGATGTGGGTACTTATTGTGGGGGGAGAGACTTTGTCATTGCGCAGTGACGTCACTTCCGTCATGACCCAGAAGCACCATCATCACACTGGGTGGGTGGGTGGGGAGTGCTCTAGCACTCACCTCAAAACTCTGAGGTTTCTGAGCAAGTCCTAGACTAGAGTGTCACCCCGGTGCAATGCCAGGGCTTCTGGGTCGTGCCAGAAATGATGTCATTTCCCCCCCACCCAAATTTGCCTGTGTGCTTCCTCCTGCTCGCCAACCAGAGGAACGTTGGTGGGCACTGGCAACAATTGCCAGGAGTTTGCCCACCATTAGCAGGCATATGGTAAGCCTAGCTACTCTCCAGTCCATAAAGAGCCAGTTTGGTGTCGTGGTTAAGTGCGTGGACTCTAATCTGGGAGAACCGGGTTTGATTCCCCACTCCTCCACTTGCAGCTGCTGGATGACCTTGGGCAAGCCATAGCTCTGATAAGAGCTGTTCTTGAAAAGAGCCGTTTCTGTCAGAGCTCTCTCAGCCTCACTTACCTCACAGGGTGTCTGTTGTGGGGAGGGGAAGGGAAAGGAGTTTGTAAGCCCCTCTGAGACTCCCTTGGGTAGTGAAGGGCGGGGTATAAATCCAATCTCTTCTTCTTCATTACTGCCACAGGGAACAGCTACAGTACAAGCCCCTCACATTATTAAACTGTGACAGCTCCCTTGAAGCCAGAGCAGGGCCAGAGAGAGGGGGCGGAAGGGATGCATGATGCTTCAGAATACTTGACAACTAGAACCAGTAGAACAGCTCGCCAACCATACAAGCAATGCTTGTAACAGATTACTGATCCCCAACATGGCACCTGTGGTCCCTTGTGGTGGCCGCTGAGGTATTTGCTGGCGTCCACTTGCTGGCTTTCCAGCAGGACAGGTTGCTTCAGAACACTTGACAACTAGAACCAGTAGAACAGCTCGCCAACCATACAAGCAATGCTTGTAACAGATTACTGATCCCCAACATGGCACCTGTGGTCTCTTGTGGTGGCCGTTGAGGTATTTGCTGGCGTCCACTTCCTGGCTTTCCAGTAGGACAGGATGCTTCAGAATACTTGACAACTAGAACCAGTAGAACAGCTCGCCAACCACACAAGCAATGCTTGTAACAGATTACTGATCCCCAACATGGCACCTGTGGTCTCTTGTGGTGGCCGTTGAGGTATTTGCTGGCGTCCACTTCCTGGCTTTCCAAAGCAAAGAGCCCGTCCTGGTTTTCTTCCACTCCACTGTAGCAAGAGGTACTTCAGAAGACCCAAGCATGGGAGGACGCTTGGCTGGAAACGTCCCACCATTTTGTTAATCCCTCCCCGTGGCAGCCAGTTTTGTCATAGGTCTCGCCTCTCTTGGCAACCATTTTGTGTTGGTGTCCACCCCCTTTTCTCAGGGCTCAAGAAGTTCAGGAGTCCTGTAGCAGAGCCGCAGTATTGCTTAGTTTAAAAAGAAAAATAGCCGCTTTAGGAGAGGGGTGTTCGGAGCAGGACAGGGAAGGAGAGGTGCAGAGTCCTTTTCCTTTTGGCGCTTTCCCCCCTTGCCAGGTCCCAGTCATGTTTTGAGTTACAAACGGCACTGGGGCTCTCTTTCCCATGTCTTTGTTTTGTGTGGTTAGCTCCTCACAAAGTGAAGCTGCGGCCCGCGTGCTTGTTTTTCCTCTGAAAACTTTCCCTCTTTTGACAGAAGGTCCCCTTCCATCCCTCCCTTTCCCTCCTGCTTCTAACAAAATTTTCTTATGCCCAGGGAAATTTATCTTGGCCAAATAGCGTTTGTTAGTGACAGGCCTATAATTTCTGCACGTTGTGAAACCCGCACGGAATCTTCTCCCTTCCAGTGTGACGTTGTTTTAATTTGATTTTGATAGCAGCAACAAGGGGGAGCTGTTAGATATGAAGCCGGGAGAGGCTGCACTTTTTAAAATACCGCCACGGCCAAAAAGCCATTAGCAACGGCATTCTTGACTTCTCCTCAGCTAGCGCCTACAGAACCATTCTGATCAACACTCTGTAGACGCTTAATTGTTTCTCGACCAGAAGGCTTATGGCTATGTTTTCAGAAGTGACGCGTGATGGTTTATGAGCTTTCAAAATGAGACATGCTGAAAGGAGTTGATTCTTCCCCCCCCCCCAGGCCAAATGTCAATATGTACTGAAAAAAGGGCTCCTTAAGGGTGTCTCAAGCTAGAAGCACAACCTTTTTAATCTTGTGTCAGAAATCTCAGCCCATCACGTTAACAAGAGAGAAAAACAACATGCCTTATGTAATGAAAGTGGTTTATATATAATTCTATAGATATTTCTCATTATTTGGATGCTGGATCCAAGGAAATGGGCTGTAGTTATTCCTGTAACTCCATGATTTAGAAATCTACATAGTGATTCTAAAAGATAGCCTGGCATCATTATTATCAAGAGCTGGGGTGGTGAAGTGGTTAAGAGCGGTGGACTCTGATCTGGAGAGCCAGGTTTGATTCCCCCCTCGTCCTCCACATGAAGCCTGCTGGGTGACCTTGGGCCAGTCACAGTTCTCTCTGAACTCTCTCAGCCCCACCTACCTCACAAAGAAGAGAATATGAATGTAAGCTGCTCTGAGACTCCTTGAGGTAGAGGAAAACAGGGTGTAAAAACTTTTTCTTATTGTTTCTGTATCACGATTGGTGGGAGGAGGTGAAGAGAGTGTAGCTTGCCTAACACCACCCACTGGGTTCATAGGTGTGCTAAGCCTTGCCCTTGAAATTCCTAATTTATGCTCATTTCTCTGCTGCGCTGGTAGCTTCAGTTTGCTAATGGTATTCGTTTGTTGGGGTGTCCCTTGTCAAATCTAGTGAATTTGTCATTCCTGATGATTTCTAGAATCTTATCTTATTCTAGACAGATAGGATCTACTTAGAGCCTCTTCAGATATAGTTGATTGTACTCATTGACTTACTTATTTGAGAATGAAATAAAACATTGGCGTTTCTGCCAACCAAATACTTTTACAGTCGAATCGACCACACACAAAAAATAAATCTAAAATATCTTTCTGTCTCTGGAATTTTGTTACATGGATAGCATATTGGATCCCTTTAAAATGAAACTGGAACTGTCATTGGAAGAAAATCTGGGTTTGAATCCAGATTTGATTCAGTTAGCTATTTTGTGATTTCATGGGGAGGGCTTGAAAGCTACACAGGCAAAATATCAACAGCGAGGAGTCCATGGTGGGTCTTCCTCAGGGTACAAGGAATTAAAGTATTATCTACATTAATGTTACACATTAGCCTGAAAATATTTGTCTCATTTTGGTCCAGTGGCAATAGAGTACATCTGGCCGGATAATTTTCTTCTGCCAAATGAGGAGACCAGATGTGTTGGTACAAAATGTACTCTTTGGGTCTGATACTGTTCAACTGTCATACATTTTGGCTTGTAATCTAACTCTGCCGTTGATGTTGCCTCACGGCGCTGTAGAGAATAGCCAGTGATGTACTCCTGCTGTGTGAAATGTTGCATTAGAGAATGTCCCAGGCATGTGCCAGTGAGTTAATTATTTCTGTATCCTCCTAAATTGCAGGTGGCAAAGATACGATCACATTCAGTGATGCTGCTCTTCCCGTCATCCAAAGGTCTCAGTCACCCTTGTTAACTTTCACTGATAAGCCGCAAGAGAAGAAAGGAGGTAAACAGTCGGGGTCATCGTGGGGAGCACACGGTGTAGGTTGGTTCCTCACTTGGGCCATAGAGTAGACTGCATCAGAGAGGCCAGCGTCTCAGTGGTTCTGAAGCTGTCTGCATTATTTCATTTCTGTGTCATTAAGGTCATGCACAAAGCCTGTTACTGCTGCGTCTCCTGTGCCAGCACGATTCCACGCAGACACTGGGGCATTGCTTACATGGGTGGAGCTATACTACAGGCTCCTCCCATGTGGTTATGTTACCGTAGCAGCATGGGAAAGAACCAGGGCTATTTTGGGGCAGGAACGGAGTTCCGGCTGGCTCCTGAGTTGACCACGCCCAGCAGGAACTCATTAGCATAATAGGCCACACCTAACAGCAGACACTCATTAGGATTGGCTACATTAGGGGTGTGTGGCCTAACATGCAAAGAAGTTCCTGCTACAATAACAGCCCAGGGTTTTGACAACAAAGTAAACAGAATAAGAAGCAAAAGGTGGGTGTGGTTGGATGACATATGGGGTGTGGCCTAATATGCTAATGAGCTGTGCTATCAGGGGTGTGGTCTAATATGCTAATGAGTGCTGCTGGGTGTGGCCTATTATGCTAATGAGTTCCTGCTGGGCTTCTACTACCCAAAAAGCCCTGGAAAGAACCAGATGGCAGGCTTTCTCATATTTACCAGCTTAATGTAGGAAGTGTGCAGGGAAGACCCATGTGCAATCAGCTCGTCGGCAAAGGTGGTAGATTTATGGTTATACCACTTCAGAATCGAAACGGAGAGTTGGTGAACAACACTCCGCCATGTTGAGAATTCTGTCCCCGTATTTTAATAGCAGTGGGAAAGCTTCCCAAATTCAGCAGTGAATTCAGAACTGCTGCAGGGGACCGATTCAGATCAGGACTGCAGCATGGGGGGAAGGGGGGACTCTTGCATCCCCCCCACACACACTGTTTTCCTGACCAAGCCCAGCCCAGTGGGTGTTATTAGCTTACGTGTGCGGCCCACCACAGGGCCTTTTCGGGTCAGAAAATGAGGCAGAGGGAGAAGTAAGAGCTCCTCATCTCCCAGCACCACGGTCCCGATCTGAATCAGGTCCCTGCAATACTTCCAAATTGAGCTGAAGAACTTGTGTCTCTGCAAGTGGTGATCACATAGAGGATGTAATATGTAGTTTGGACCTTAGTGTAGCCCTGTCCCTGATCATTGCTAATTTGCTACGTGCAGGGAATTTTCTTACTAGGGAGCCCATTCTGTACGGCTCTTGTTGGAAGTGCTACTGTCCAAAATTGACTGATTCTAAATAAATGTGCTGCCCAAGTGTATAGGTCGTGCTCCTCTGAGCGTCTTTTATAAGCGGAAGGCTCCTTCTGCCAGAAGAAAACACCTCTGCTAGTGGAACAGATCTGTAGGATCCAGCAGTCTAGTGGTCTGCCATCCGCTGGAGGCTACAGCCCAGTTCTGTTAGATTTTAAATATCAACATTGTCATGAAGATAAAGTTTTGCAATTTAGACAGGGCAAAAGATATGTAGGAATTGATAGGAAAGAAATAATATGTACAATGGTGGGGCCGAGGAACAATGGCCACACTGAATACCCCCACCCCACTTCCTTAGCAACCACAGGTGCTGCAACTCTTCCAGCACCTGAGCTTCCACCAGACATGGGCCCGTGTTTTCAGGAACATCTTGCCATGAGGACTAGAAACAAACATTCTCTAGTAGTGGCCACTTGGTATGACTGCAGTTCTGTCGATACTTAATACTAAGCTTCTTAGTCTGCTGTATTAATCAGACTTCATTTAGGAGTGAATCCTATTTGGGTGAGTGGGCCTTGCTGCTGAGTGAAGATAGGGTTGGTCTGTAAGAGCAGCTGTTTCCTTCACCTCTGCGTTTCATTATACTGGGATCTGAACCCAAATCTCTTCCCCCTCCTTATTGTTGGTCTGTCTCCAGTTACTGCATCAATGCACCTTTCTTGCTTGTATGTTTGTCCTCTGGGTAATTATGAGCTAAGGTTGGGGGCCATGTTCCCTCTAAGCTGAGTTAGTGTTAGCTAGCTCACAGTTTTTTAGCCTCCGGCTCACGCATTTTTGTCTTAGCTCAGGAAGGAGGGCTCCAGAGCAGACTAATTTGTGCAGCAGCCGAATCACTCGGTGTAGTGGTTTGGTGTAGTGGTTAAGTGTGTGGACTCTAATCTGGGAGAAGTGGGTTTGATTCCTCACTCCTCCACATGCACCTGGCTGGATGACCTTGGGCAAGCCATAGTTCTGATAAGAGCTGTCCTTGAAAAACAGCAGTTTCTGTCAAGAGCTCTCTCAGCCCCACCTACCTCCCAGGGTGTCTGTTGTGGGGAGGGGAAGGGAAAGGAGTTTGTAAGCCGCTCTGAAACACCTTTGGGTAGTGAAGGGCGGGGTATAAATCTAATCTCCTCCTCCTCCTCCTCCTCCTCCACCTCCTCCTCCTC